TCTCCTTCTCCTTCTCCTTCTTCTTCTTCTTCTTCTTCATCTTCTTCTTCTTCTTCTTCTCTTCTTCTTCTTCTTCTTCTTCTTCTCCTTCTTCTTCTTCTTCTTCTTCTTCTTCTTCTTCTTCTTCTTCTTCTTCTTCTCTTCTTCTTCTTCTCCTTCTCCTTCTCCTTCTTCTTCTTCTTCTTCTTCTTCATCTTCATCTTCATCTTCTTCTTCTTCTTCTTCTTCTTCTTCTTCTTCTTCTTCTTCTTCTTCTTTCTTCTTTCTTCTCCTTCTTTTCTCCTTCTTTCTCCTCTCCTTCTCCTTCTTCTTCTTCTCCTGTCTTCTTCTTATCTTCTTACTTCTAGTTCTTCTTCCTCCTCCTCTCCCTCCTAGTCCCTTTCTAACAAAATAACCATAATGATAATAATGATAATAACAGTAATAACGATAACAAAAAAATAATGATATTAGTAATACTGATAATAATGCTAATAACAATATAATTATTATTATGAATTAGCATTGTGGCGAAATCATAATAGCTGGTAATATAGGTCTCATAATTAAACGTAAAATAGTTTCCAATAGAAAATGCTATTAAGGTTTATTTCCTCTTCGTATCGTTCTGGATTTTCTTGCTCGTTTTCCTTATACGCACAAACACACACACACAAGTATTTTTGCGTGTGTGTGAGTGTGTGTGTGTGTGTTTGTTCGGACGGGTGTCGCAGGACATTAAGTGTGGTTATAGTTTTGCTAATTTGACACAAAAAAGAGAGAGAATAAGGGGGGAGGAAAAGAGAGAGACAGAGACAGAAACAAAGACAAGCAAACAAAAAAAAAACACACACACAAACAACCAGAAACAGAGAGAAAATAAACATTTTTAGAAATCCCTAAAAGTCAGGATGGTAGAGAAGAGACGCGCAAAAACGCCGAAAATTTAGCATCTCCTCAGGGTGCGAGCAGACCAACCGCTGTTACCGGTTCGTAGGGGCGGGACCAAGGCATTTGAGAGGCCACCCAGTACAAGACATGTAAAAGGGTATGTTTTCAGGTCGGATGAAAATTAACAAGTGGGTGCAAAGGCGACATAATGATACATAGATAGATATAGAAACACAAAAACACCGACAGACATATACATACGTGCATACATAAGTAGGTAGGTCGATAGATAAATAGACAGGTAGATCGATGGGTAGATAGATCGATAAATACATACAGACCGACAGACATACATACATGCATACATAAACAGGCAGATAGATAGCTAAATAGACAGGTAGATAGATGGGTGGGTAGATAGATAAAATGGCATACAAATGAATAGATAGACACAGATAGTGAAGAACAAACATCTTTTTTCTCTCTTTTTCTCTCTCTTAAATCACGCAAGGATGACCCCGTCAATCAATCAACTGAAGATAGTGTAGGTAAGAAGGCCGCCAGCTGTTCGTGGATTTGCAAGGATATACGTTACGGTGAGAGGAATCTATTGAAGATCTCCAGGCCTTTCTGTAGGAGGAACAATCAATCAAAATGCTGACATTGTAATAAGAAAGTGTTTTTTTTTTTTTTTTTTTTTTTTGTCTATATGGAATCTTTGTTCTTGTAATATCATCTTATTTCCAGTCTATGTAGACTAACTACATGTTTTTTTTTTTTTTTTTGTCTATATGGAATATTTGTTCTTTTAATATCATCTTTCTAGTCTATGTAGACTAACTACATGTAAGTAGAAAAAGAAGCTACTGTCGGATATGTCTCACTAAATCTAGTTTGTGTAGGGTTTTCTACCATGATATCACCGCAGTGTTTTGCCTTTCAACAATGTTATGATAGTTAGGAAAACGCTTTCTCTCTCTCTCTCTCTCTCTCTCTCTCTCTTCTCTCTCTCTCTCTCTCTCTCTCTCTCTCTCTCTCTCTCCTCTCTCTTCTCTCTCTCTCTCTCTCTCTCTCTCTCTCTCTCTCTCTCTCTCTCTTCCCTCTCTCTCTCTCTCTCTCTCTCTCTCTCTCTCTCTCTCTCTCTCTCTCTCTCCTCTCTCTCTCTCTCTCTTCTCTCTCTCTCTCTCTCTCTCTCCTCTCTTCTCTTCTCTCTCTCTCTCTCTCTCTCTCTCTCTCTCTCCTCTCTTCTCTCTCTCTCTCTCTCTCTCTCTCTCTCTCTCTCTCTCTCTCTCTCTCTCTCTCTCTCTCTTTCTCTCTTTCTCCCTTCTCTCTCTCTCTCTCTCTCTCTCTCCTCTCTCTCTCTCTTTCTCTCTCTCTCTCTCTTCTCTCTCTTCTCTCTCTCTCTCTCTCTCTCTCTCTCTCTCTTCTCTTTCTCTCTCTCTCTCTCTCTCTCTCTCTCTCTCTCTCTCTCTCTCCTCTCTCTTCTCTCTCTCTCTCTCTCTCTCTCTCTCTCTCTCTCTCTCTCTCTCTCTCTCTCTCGTGTCCCCTTTCCCTCACCGTCTCTAATTTCCTTCCGTCTCACAATTCCTTCCTTCCCTCTCCCTCCCTATTCTCATTTTCTTCCTGTCCCATCTTCTCTCCCTCCCTCTCCCTCTCCGTCTCCTCCTTCCGTTCTCCCTCCCCCGTTCGAACCGCGACGATTCGATCCCTCTCCGAAGCAGTAAAAAGTTCCAAAGCCTTGATCCGAATCCCACTGAGCCACGCGACTCGCACTCACACTCCAGGAAGGGAGGTTGTTTGGCGACGATGACTGTGGGAGCCTCGCGTGCGGTTTTGTGTCTGTGGGTCGCCGTCACGCTGGTGCAGGTAGGCTGATGGGGTGAAAGAGGTGGAATCGCAGCGTGGTGAAGAAAGGGAAATGTTAGGTTGCCGGCATTCTTTGTGGAACCAATGGAATAACCAGAAGTGAAGAAGATAGGTCGCGAGAAATGCGACGTGGAAGGTCACGGCGATCCGGGGGAGTCAGGGGGGGCGGGGACCTCGATGATGAAATACGGCGATAGAATGGGGGGTCTGCAGGCTTCCGTAGGTGCTTTTCGGTTCTTGCGGCCGTGTTTTTGGAGCTCGCAGGAATAGCTGAAGTTGTTGGGAATTAATCTCAGAGGGTTAAATGCACTTCTTAAATGATACCAATACTCTCATTTGCATTATTTGCGTTGGTAAATGACGAGGGATCCACGCATATTACAGCGCTGATCACTGAAACCAGGAATGATAATTGCAAGATTGGATGGTTCTGTGAAACTAAGAAATTACCTCGTCAGAAATTATGTTATGGCAGTCAAGTGTCTGACAGAGGGGTTAAATTTCAATCAGCCATCTTTTATGATTTAGGCCCTACCACGCTAGCAATTGTTCAGTCAATCTTTGCGTTTCCGTGTGGACTTTTCGTATGGAAATGGACCGACCCGTCACACTCCCAACGCAGCACACATTGCCCATGTAAACAAACACGGAGTAAGGTCCCGGAAATCACATTCCCATACATACCACGCTATTTTAAAGAAATATGGTTATTGAATATACGAATGGATAAATTCTTAGCTCATGTTTTCACTCATTCTATCCCATCTATCCATAAAAAATCCTTCGTAGCACAAAATACAGACGGAAATTAATCAGACAGAAGCGGCCGTGAGGTGCGGTTGAAGTAGATAGAAGACAAGTTTCTTAGAATCACTCGTTCTCTCGTTTGCATATATTATTTTTCGTCTAAAAGGCGAATGGCAGAATTTTGACCAATACCGAAAAAAGTGAGTGTGATATGGCCTTGTAATATCATAATTAAGGCCACCAGCGATACAAACGACAGAAAGCATAAATCTAAGAAACTTTAAGTATCGTTATGATTTCAGTTCTCAGGACCCATTGCAGGGAGACGTCCCTCTCGTGTTGTTTCCCAGCCCCGGGAGCTCCTTCGAAATGCACCGCAGCATTTCGTTCCCGGAGCACAACCAGCAATTATACAAATTCTGGCTCGGGAGAGTAACTAGATATTTCCCGAGTTAGGGGAGCCAACGCAGCGCTTCCCAGAGATGCCTACGAGATTTGCGAATGATTGTTCCAAGTTCTCCTGAATTATGCTCTGGCTGTCGTTGCTATTGAGCTTCCTTGCCGATGGTTCCTGAATATTTACGTATGTTTCTCAAGCATCTGATAGCGAGTACTTGCTATTCACCCATGCCTTTTCAGTGCTAAATATTCCACACTGAGATCCGACTATTCGCCAAGTACTAAATATCCAACGCTGAAAATTAACTACGAATATAATGTTTCCAAGACTCGGAAAAAATGATTCGTTATTCTAGATTTCTGTTCGTGTTTAAAAGGGATTTAAAGTACACAGATTAGTTACTTAGAATCACTTGTTTTAACGTTTGCATTTTCGTCTAAAAGAATGTTCTATGGAACTGAACCTGTACCTAAATTTCTACATGATGAAGTAAAATAATAACTAATTTCTCACTTCTCTCTTCTCTCTCACTCTCTTCCTTCTCTCTCTACTCTCTCTTTCTCTCTCTTCTCTTTCTCTCTCTCTCTCTTTCTCTCTCTCTCTCTTTCTCTCTCTCTCTCTCTTTCTCTCTCTCTTCTCTTTCTCTCTCTCTCTCTTTCTCTCCTCTCTTCTCTTCTCTCTGCTTCTCTCTTTCTCTCCTCTCTCTCTTTCTCTCTCTCTCTCTTTCTCTCTCTCAGTCTCTCTCTTCTCTCTCTCTTTCTCTCTCTCTGCTCTTCCTCTTTCTCTCTCTCTCTCTTTCTCTTCTCTCCTCTCTTTCTCTCTCTCTCTCTTTCTCTCTCTCTCTCTTTCTCTCTCTCCTCTTTCCTCTCTCTACTCTCTTTCTCTCTCTCTCTCTTTCTCTCTCTCTCTGTCTTTCTCTCTCTCTCTCTTTCTCTCTCTCTCTCTTTCTCTCTCCTCTCTCTTTTCTCTCTCTCTCTCTTTTTCTCTCTCTCTCTTTCTCTCTCTCTTCTCTTTCTCCTCTCTCTCTTCTCTCTCTCTCTCTCTTTCTCCTCTCTCTCTCTTTCTCTCTCTCTTCTTCTCTCTCTCTCTCTTTTCTCTCTCTCTCTCTCCTTCCTCT